TTAAAAAAAATTGTATATATATATAAAAGACAATAGGCATCCCAGAATTCACGAAGCAGTCTAGTAGTAGACAAATCTCCTTTCTCGTATTCAGAGATAAAGAATTGTTATGTCTCTTAGACGTTTTATGCCTTAGGAAACAACATCACTTTATATAATTTTGGAGCAGCTGTTTTTAAAAATTGTTCCAATACTTCATACTAAATCATTAGGTGATTATAAAGATGTTCATTTCAAACTCTGCAAATATTGTTATAATTCTACAAAAATAGGAGGTGTCTGAAATGTAACTTACACATTTGTTAAAAGTGATTAATTTGTCCTCATGATAGAACTCAACTCAGTGAATTTCGCTGCTCAGTCCACATACTTTCCTTTTGTACAATTTTAGTATAGACCAGCAAGCTGCTAAAATTCTCCCTATACTGTGTGCACCACGTAGATTTTCTCTTACGTGAAGCTTAGCCTTATTGTGAGTACACTCAGCTTTTACCCATTTAGCCTAATTCTAAGTTTCTGATGCGTTACTCAATGAATGGGGACCCATTTTGAATCCTGCTGTCATCTTGACTGGCCATTCTCCCCAGGTAAATTCACTCACGAACACGATGTTCACACTTGAATTTTATTACACAATTGCAGTAAATTAAAAAGAAGTGAAATTAGAAGATGACAGTAGGATTCAAAATGGGTCCCCATTCATTGAAGTACTAGTCAGAAACTCAGAATTAGCCTACATGGATAAAAGTTGAATGTAGTCAAAACCAGGTGGAGACGTTTTTAGATTGTGGGCAATGGAGATTCATTATCCTGGGTTTAGGCAGCTGAAACCATGCAAGTTGTGCCGAGGTCTGTGCTCCAGTCCTTGCATGGCCTGTCCCTAGAATAGCGTCTTAGCTTCATGGTCTTGCTTCTCTGAGACTTTCTTTTTTTACGATTTTTGCCATAGGGTACCTACGCTTGTTGGAGAGAGACAAGGGCAGAAAGTGAGAAATTACCCCCTGGGGGGATAGAACTGGTGAGAAATCAACCCCCCAGCCTCCTCTCTTCCATTCTCTTCAGAATTCTGGGCATACACACACAAGCTCCTTGTGTGTTTCTCAGGCCACCAGGTCAGGGACCAGAACTGCACAGTCGGCCACATGGTATCCGGCCACCTGAACCACACCAGCTGGACTTACGAGGTCTTGTCTTTTCTGTTGAATGAGGATAAAGACACCTAGCACAGATTTTTGGGAGGATAAAATAATTGTTTTTAAAAGTACTTGCAGGGGCCAGCAGATGGCATGCTGGTTAAGGTGCTGGATTCCCACATGACTGAAATTGTGGCTTGAGTCCCAGACCTAGTGACTTGAAAAATCACACTGGGCATGTACTAATGCATGCCCAAAATCCCCAGAGGAGAATGAAGAAGGGATTGGTGGTGTGGCCATCCCTCAGGGGGAAGGGGGTGACTTCTCACTTTCCCACCCTTTGTTTCTGTCTGTCTCTGTCTCCAGCGAGTGCATGTACTCCATGATAAACACCTTTAAAAAAAATACTTGGCAAAGTATAAGAGAGTTGAATGCAAGTTTCATTTAAAAGAGAAAAGGGGGTAGAGACCACTATATTGCCCCACTCCCCTGTTTATGGTGGTGATTAGTCTGAGAGAGAGAGAGAAAGACAAAGAGATAGATAGAGAGAGAGAAAGAGAGAGAAAACAAACCACAACCATGTACTCTGACAGATAAGTGCTGTATTTGTTAGGACTCTGTGGGAGAGTCAGCCGCCCTGGATTCTGCTTTGGGCTCTATCATTTTTAGTTGGGCGATTATTTTTTTTTAAAGGTTGTTTTTCTTTCTTTCTTTCTTTTTTATTGGTGTTAATTCAAAGAAAGAAAGATTGCATAAAATCTCTTCTGTTGTAGAAATATCAGTGGCCTTTCTAGCACATAACCTTTTGAATATCCAAGTATATGGTAAACACACAGGGAAGGAGAAGGTAACATACCTCCAATGTATAGTAGGGTATTTTAAATCATACAATAAGCTCTGTCAAGTACAACTGGTTTCTTTGTGATTGTTAGCCTCCAGTTGTCAGAGAGAGATATACTGAACAGATGCATTTTATAAACCAGAGAGTACCTCACAAATAAGATATAGAGGTAGGAGGGCAGTTTATAACCCTGTCCCGGTTATTAACATGCTTTCCTGCTGGTCTTTGTACTTGTCAGCATTCCAACAGGAAGCATGGCATCCTTCAACTGTCTAAGGACCATTCGATAAGGGGACAGTGTACAGGGTGTGCACCAGGTGCTGTCGTTGAGGAGGGCTGGTGCAGTAACCAGGGACCGGCAATAGTGGGGCGAGGTCAGAGAGTGGTTCTTGGAACCCAGATGGGGCGGCTGTGTGGAGGTCACCCAGCAGAGCTGTGGTCTTTGAAGAGGTCTTTTGAGCATCTCTGTGGTGCGCCAGGGAGGGAAGTGGGGGGAGGGGTGCATGCACCTTCCTCTTTCTCCTGCTCTCTGGCCGCCTCTTCCTCTCTCTTATTGGCTTAACCCAAGCAGAAGAAGGAAGACAGAGCAGTTGATGAAATCCATACGTCAGCCTCTTGGGGCTCTGGCAAGATGAGAAGGTGGAGAGGATCTGTGGGTGTGTTTCTGGCCGCAGCAAAATCTTTAGAGTGATTCGTTTGATTCTTTTTCCTTTCCTCTTCTCCCTGTTCGTTCATCAGTCACATACTCTGTGGCTGCTTAGAGCCTGTATGCGTGAGGCCTAGCATCACCAGGGCCCAGGGCTTGGCGACTAGGTCCCAGGAGGTGCCTACTGGTGACTGCTCGTGACTAACATAATTTCACTGGGACACAAGTAGTCAGTATAGTTGATACTTCGTTTGCTACTTTCTTGGTTTTTATTTCTTTATGGGGGTGGTGGGCAGTGACTGTATAAATGTCTCAGATGACCAGGAGAAACAGGGGACCTACTGCCCGAATTGCCTTCTTTTTCTTCGTAATCTCCCAGATGAAGACTTTTTTCCTTTTGTGGAAAGAACTGGTAGATATTCTGATTTTGTGATCCTATCTCCAGTTGGCCCGTGGAGCTAGCCTTTGGCTCCGGGCTTGTAGTCTGGGCTTTTTTTCTTTACAGACTTAGAATTGCCTGGGAGAGTAAAGAGGCTCCTTTCTTTCTATAATTTGTTAATTGATAATGAGAAACAATTTTATAACATTTTTACTAGAGATACCACTTTTTAGATATTTTGTGTCCTTCAGTTTTCATGGTTTAAGATTATGAAATACCCATTTAAAGCTCTTCAGATTAATGCTGTTAAAATGGGCTGATGGCTTTCACATTGCAGTGTTAAATTTATGTTCCAAGGAATTTTAGATCACTTTGTTGAGAGTAATACGAAAATGATAAAGGAATCAGCTACTGCCACACTCTAGAGCTAGAAATCCTCTCCCATCGTAACCCTGTGAGGGTTCTGTGTTTACCAAGACATCTGTAGTCATTTACGGGTGCTTCTATGAAAATCGTAATACTTAATTGAAATTTCGTGATTGTTTATAAAGACAGTAATGAAATCCAACCATCAGAAAAACAAAATGAAATTAGGGCAGATGTTGTATCATAGTTTTTAGCCCTCCCCCTCCCTCCTTCTTTCTTTCTTTTTATTTTCTTCTCCTTCTTGTTGGTTTATTTCTTTATTTTTTTTGATGTGTCCTATATTGGAGAAAATGGCACTCAGGATTCTTGACATGAGGTCATCCAATGTTTCATTCTGTTCTTCCATATTTCATGCCCGGATCAGTGCTTTTTATTTTCTTCACATCATTGGGGGAAGGCAGTTACACTGTTTTGGAGCACTTGAGGAAATTCGAAAGGGAGTAAGGAATAGGGAGTTAAAAGGAACAATATTTTGAAAATTTAATATTTTGAAAAGTCACTCACATTTCACAGCGTGGAGACTTTTGCTTCATAATTTTAGATTTGATGTAGCAGAAATAGGTTGCCAGTGATTTCCTTCTTTTGTCTTTCCTCCTTCCCCGGCACATGGATAGCTCTGTTAGGGAATACCTTCAGGCTTATGGTAATGGAAAGGAAAGTTGAAGATGGGAGGAATGAGACAGCCCAGAAGAAAATCCAACGATAAACTCCTGTATCGTGTTGTTAGTTAAGAATGGCCGAAGGAGGAAGAGCCGCTGCAGCTTGACCACATGAGATAGCTCCTTGGATAACTCCTCTGGCCAAACCCCAGAAAGAACAGTGGGTATGGGCTGTTCCCAAACACGACCCTCATTCTGGTCTCCACAGGATCCTGTGTCCTGCACTTACCCCATGTCACATTAGAGAAAAAGTCTAGAAATGTTCAGGCCTTTTTTCTTTTTAATTTTTATTTTATGATTTCTTACTGTACACCTTTATAGAGTACAGCGTGGTGTTTCAAAGCTTGCATGCAGGGCATGACAGACAGATCAAGATACTACCATAGGTATCATTTTCAGGGAGAACTTGACATTCTCCTGTCTGTGAAATGTTTTCCCTGAGCCCCTCCTGCCTGCCCCCTACCATCCACCCCAGGCTTTTTTTCCCCTTATCTCTCTCTGGTACTCGTGAGTGTGTTGTCATTTCCAGACCCAAATCCTGGCCAATCAGCTCAGCCTCCTGGAGGCAGTTCAAATATTCTCTAGGGAAAAAAGCTTCATCAAGTTTTTATTATGTTGGAAAGATGGCTGTTATCATTGTTTCTTACAGTGTACTTGGTCACAAATCATTATCACCATTCCATGCTGAGCAGCTTCCAAAGTGGTGAGACGGTTTGGTTTTGTTTTCTTTTGAGCTTCTCTGCCTTTGAAATGGCCTTGTCCCTCTAGCCTTGCTAAGTGTTCACCACAGGGGGCGCCTGCACTGCCCGGGAGCTCCTCTCAGAAGGCATTTTGGGGATGTTAACGCCAAGCCTCTGCTATCCGGGAGACTGAGGGGGAGCTGTGGTCTGATGAGCTGCTGTGGTCCATCTTTCAGGGACAGGCGAGAGCGGCAAGAGCACGTTTATCAAGCAGATGAGGATCATCCACGGGTCGGGCTACTCTGACGAGGACAAGAGGGGCTTCACCAAGCTGGTGTATCAGAACATCTTCACGGCCATGCAAGCCATGATCAGAGCCATGGACACACTCAAGATCCCGTACAAGTACGAGCACAATAAGGTAGGTGTGCGGCGGCGCCGGCACAGTAGGCCAGGCCACTCGCAGGAACACAGCCGGACGAAGGGTCTCTTACTGTGTGTGGAATACACAGTAGGTTGTGGAAATGTACAGGGTTCGTTTCGTCCTCATTGGGACTTTAAACGAACAATAGGTTGCTTATAATTATGTTCGCCTTTTAAATGGCACCTACGAGAAATTGGAATTACATCCTTAGTGATATCAAGGAAAGGCATATTTGTGTGCTCCGTGGTCCATTCCTGGAGGTTTCAGATTGCGGGGAGCACATTTTGTTGAGACTGTGTGTAACCTCCACGCGAATTGGCCAAAGTGAGAGAATTCAGAGAGCAGCGCCCTTGCTCCAACCTCATATTCTGTGCCTCATGGAAAAGAGAACAGAACCGCTAAAAACCATCCTCTCTGGTTTAATTTTGAATTTTATAACTTCCATTCAGTAGCTGATGGGCTTCATTTTATTTCAAGAGGCCCGTCTCTCACTCCCAGTTACCCTTCCAATGTGTTTCCCTGCCGTTGTGTACAAGTAACGGGAACTTGTGAAGTTACTTGAGAAAGGATGGGGCGAGGTCTAAGTTTTCATCCATTTAGGCAAACTCTTCCAGTATCCCCTGTTCTCTCTTGGTTGAAATAAAGTCCCCCCCTCCCCAAATAAAATACTTGCTCGCTCTCTCAGTGATACAGAGATGGCACAACCACCCAGGCTGGTGCCCTTGAGGGTGGCTCCACATTTGAGTTTATGCTGCAGTTACCCTGCGGGGAGCTCCTGGAAGGGGCTGGAGCTACGCCCAGGGTGTGGCAGCCTGGGCACAGGATCCCATCTGAGCCAAGGGAAATGTCTCTGGACTCTGTGGAAACATCGTCGCAGTCTGTCTTCAGTGAGTTCACCATGGATGTATTCTTTGCTCCTTGGGGCTTGTAGGGGCTGGTCTGATAGGCTGATCTTACAGTAAGCCTCACATTTTGTTGACAAAACACTGCATTTCTGTACGTGGAATTATTTTAGAGCCTGCAGTAAGAACTTTCATTCTCTCAGTACTCTTGACCATCTTCCACAGTGCACGTTTCTATGTATCAGGATCAAGTAGGCAATGACAAGAAGCTGGCATGCCCTGTGTGTCTCTTAGGATAAAGAGAAGATAATTTCATGTACTGACACCTCTGTTCCATCCAGAGACTTCAAAACAGATCATGTCATCATTGTTTTTTTCTTGGATAGTTCCTTGAAACTGCTAGTTTCTTATCTGATTGATACTCTCGCACTTAGTTTTCTACGGGCAACAGGAATCTCTCCACAAGATACAGACCCTCCACGAATAATCCTTCCTGCTTTTATTTACTTTCCTTTTATTTTTTTAAGAGAGATTTTTGCCATAGAGCGTACATGCTTGCCAGAGAGACAGAGAGAAAGAGACAGACAGAGACAGACAGACAGAAAGTGAGAAATCACCCTCCAGGGGGGATGGCCATGCCACAATTCCTTCTGCTCCATTCTCCTCTAGGTATTTTGGGCATGCACATACATGCACCCAGTGTGATTGTTAAGCCACCGGGGTCCGGGGCTCAAATCCCAGCCAACTACGTGGGAGACCAGCAACGATACTTACGCCATCTACTGGTTCCTTCCCTTTTACTTTCAAAGATGAGAAAGGGCCAGGTAGATTTTGAGTCCAGGTCCATGGTATCTTAAACAAATAAAGCTGCATGGACATATGTAAACAGTTTAAAATTTAAAGGGCCAAGATCTTTTTAAAGAATTTTACAGAATCATACACATACACCAAGAAATTGCAGTGCAATCCATTTCTGAGAAAATTTTATTAAAGGAGTTTTGTTTTGTTTTGATTTTCTAACCTACTGAGTTTTATTTGTTACGTAAACCACCTAGCATCTTTCAGGTAAAAATAAAATACTAAATTTGAATAAAGATACTACAAAATGAATTAGAGTCCAATAAAAATTAGCTTTGGGGCGGGAACACAATTCAACTCAATTAAGGCAAACATTTTTATAGACCACAGATTAGTTTATTTTTAACCTATTCCCTATGAATTCATGGCATGAATTTTGTTTGTTTGAAGAATGACAGTGACTCTTTCTGTCTATGGTAGCTGATAATAAGGTGAGCTGATGCATTCTGACTGAGTCACCATGTGTGCTATGTATATTTCTTACATTTACATACACACACACACACACACACACACTGTCAGTTTGCTCATTGTAATATAATGCAGTCCATCTACATCGTAACAAAAAAATGAAGAATAATCTTCTTTCTTAGATGCTCCAAAATAATCAGGATCTTACCTGATGTTAGATTTTGGTATGAAGGTCATTTATTATGCAGTCGTGTAGATGTGGAAAACGTAGTGGCACTCATGCCTTGTTCACACAACAGATTGGAGAATGTTTAGCTCTGTGTATTATTTGAGTTTTTTGTGTGTGTTCCAACTAAGTCGACTTTACTGTGTGGAATACTATTCAATTACATATTGACATCGTTACATTTTCTCTTATGTCTTGATTACTTAGCATACTGCCGAATATTGTGATTGTGATGACCTCTGAAATCTTTGTATGTTTACTCCTCTTTAATTCATAATATTCATTACTTTCACATTTATATTATATGTATATTATATATTACGTTCGATTTTCTCTACATCCTACACAGATCTTAGAGCATCAGTCTCCCTTTACTTCATCCACTAACTTCCTGAACTCTATCCACTGTGTGCCTTTGTTAATGCTTATTAAGGAAATGACAGGGGCCAGCAGGTGGCATGGTGGTTAAGGCAGTGAACTCCCACATGGCCAACTGCAGTTCAAATCCTGGACCTGGTGGCTTTCTCTCTCTCTCTCTCTCCATCTCTCTTTGGTGAGCACATGGGCCCTATAGTAAACTTAATATAATAAATAAAATTAAAATTAATATTTTTTCAAAAAGGAAATAATGTCTTCTTCCTATTCAACTCAATTGCCACTTCCTCCAAGAGTTCTCTCCCCCACCCCTAGTTTGTAATTGTCTTCAGTGTATTAATTATGGCAATTTGGGTATTGATTTTATTTTCTTTACTGGATTCTAAGCGTCTTGAGAGTATATCTTATACCCCTTCCATTTGCATTCTTCGCTGCCCCTGGCATTGTATCTTATAGATAGTAGGTTCTCAAACATTCTTGTTTTATGAATCATTTGTGAGCTTCAACAATTGAAAATCTCTCTTCTGCCCTCAGCATTGTTAAAATGATTATTCAGACTGACCAATAGCTGTTGAAATTTCTCTCTATACATAAAGGTATAAGTGTTCCATCTGGTCAGGGATGCAAAGAAGTGTAATCAGGGCTGATCAGAAATTTACAGTCCAGTTGGGGAGAGATATCATGGAAAGAGGCACTTTGGGGAAAAGGAGTGGCCGAAACACATGATCAGAAGGAGAAGTATGTGTGCAGCATAAGAAAATGGTCACTGAATTTGAGCAGAATTCCTATAGAGGAGGATTGGAAAATGGTATAGGATGTGTCGATGAAAGTCGACTCTGCGTTTCAGCTTTTTTCCTTGTGTTTATGATCCTTATTTAATAGTAATATGTTTTGGTTAGGATTTTCTACAAAAGTTTCTGATTGCAAAACCATATGCTTTGTTACATAATCTAAAGGATTTTGTGTATGTGTGATTAGCATGTGTAGAAGCTGCACACTCTGATTTATATTGTTTTGTAGCACTAAATATGCAATATAAATAACCTTTAAAAAAAAAAAAAGCTTCTCTGTACCTATTATGACATTGCCCATAATCTGTAGTTAGTAAATAAATAAAAACACACACTTCCCAGTGTTATTCAGTCTAACATTGTATTTGCTTTTGAGTTTGTATGTTTTAGAAATCAAAACAGCTTATGAATAATGTGGCCTTTGTGACCTGGGGAGTTACTCAGTTTCATCTGCTATGGGATTGGTTCTAGCTTTGGGAGTGCCACACCAGAATGTTACCCTACCAGTAACCTGCTGAAAGTTACTACAGTGAGCCGAGAGTCCTGTAGAAGGATGGCGGTGGCCCGTGCGATCTGGGCCACCATCTCCGAGCCAAACGGTGGGGCAGTGTGTACCTTTTTGTAAACCTCACCCTGTTCTAGGGATTGCACCTTCAGGAAGGAGTTGGAAAAAATTGTAATAAATTGCAAAGTTTCACCAAAATAGAAGTTTAATTCTTCCCAGAGTATTTATCCATTGTCTTATTTTTTTGGTGTGTGTGTGTGTGTATGTGTTTTGTTTTTGTTTTTGTTTTTCCAAACAAGTAATGTATATAGGTGACCTGTTCAGATTTAGCCCAGGTGAGAGAACACATATGTTTAAGGACTTCTGAATATATTGTGAGCGAGGGTTTGTTTGTTTCTTAGTATTATTTTGCCTTTTTCCTTAAAAAAAAACAGTTGATTACTATTATTAAAACTAAGTAATTGCCACTTGGTCAAATTGAAAGATACATTTAAGGCTCCTCTGCAAGGCACTGACTGTGAGCTCATGATGTCGTTCCATCATATCTTACTTTACAGAGGGAGGGAGCCAGCAAGTGGTGTGGTGGTAAGGCGCTGAATACCCACATGGCCAAGACTGTGGTTCAAGTCTCAGATCCAGTGGCTTGAAAATCCCTCTTGCTCATGTGCATGCAAACCCAAAATCCTGAGAAGAGAATGGAGGAGAAGGGATTGTAGAGTGGCTATTCCCCAGGGAGTGATCTCTCACTTTCTGTGTCTCTGGAGAGTATAGCACTCTATAGCAAAAATCTCTTCCAAAAAAAAGAAAAAAGAAAGGGATAATGTAGGTGCTTTTGTTCATTGAACTGATTCAGATTGGCAGGCGGCATGGTGGTGAAAGGTGCTGGACTCCCACATGACCATGGTTCAAGTCCTGGGCCTGGTGGCTTGCTTTCTCTCTCTCTCTCTTTCTCTCTGCCTGATCAAACTGAAAAATAATTATAATAATAA